GCTTTCTGTTGTATCTCTGGGCATGTATTTCTTTGTTTCTAAAGAACATGTTCGTGTAGCCTGTTTGTTGTTTTTAAATCTGGGTGTGGTCGTGTTGTCGGTAAAGCTCCTACTGTGGGATGTGAGGCCCTGGCTCTTCATGCATTTCCCACCACCACCCCAACACACACATGCCTGGCTGCACACACATGCCTGGCTGCACACACATGCCTGGCAGCACACACATGCCTGGTAGCACACACATATGCCTGGTAGCACACACATATGCCTGGTAGCACACACATGCCTGGCAGCACACACATGCCTGGCAGCACACACGTGCCTGGCAGCACACACATATGCCTGGCAGCACACACGTGCCTGGTAGCACACACATGCCTGGCAGCACACACATGCCTGGTAGCACACACATATGCCTGGTAGCACACACATGCCTGGCAGCACACACATGCCTGGCAGCACACACGTGCCTGGCAGCACACACATATGCCTGGCAGCACACACGTGCCTGGTAGCACACACATGCCTGGTAGCACACACACATGCCTGGCAGCACACACATGCCTGGCAGCACACACATGCCTGGCAGCACACACGTGCCTTGCAGCACACAGGCTCACTTCCTGCCCCCTTCCTCCCAGGAGAGCTATGCCCCAATTTGTATTTAGTTCAACAGTCAGCACTGACCTTGCTACGACCATGTCACGAGTGCCCAAAGCTGAGCCACGGATGACACTGCATTTCCTTCTCAGATAACTTTTTGTTTTCCCTGGAGTTGATAACAGCCTTGCTTTCTACGAACCTCTGTGCTCACCGCCAGGTTCTTGGGGGAACCTGTGAATCCCCCCTCAGCATTTCTCAGCCCTGCTACTTGGTCAGTTTGGGGTTCTTCTAGGGGAGATCCTCTTGCCCTCTGGCACCACCCTGTTCCCCTGCTCAGCCTGGACTGGCCCTCCCCTCGGACTGGCTTCCTTGTGTATTTCTTCACCCCCATCCCCGGTTCCCCTTCATCTCCTTGTGTCAGGTCGGATGTCTGTCTCCTGGAGCTCTGTCTTTGTTTTTTAGCGGGCATCACCTAGTAGCTGCTGACCGTGGGTTCATGAGCTATACGTGGTTTGAGATTGAAGATGCCTCTTTCCCTATCTCACCAACAAAGGTCAAGGACCCTTGTTCAGAACATCATAGGAATCCCTTGGAGTTGTAGCTGCCTGATTGCTCCGCGGGTACCAACATGTGTTTGGAGTCATCGGCTTCTCCAGGTCCTCAGGAGCACACCCTTGCAATCTAGTTCTCCCTGGGCCCTCAGAATTAACAGCAACCGGCATCGCACAGCCCGTCACTGTCCGGCAAGGACCACCGGAGCCATTTCTCACTGGGGGAGGCAGGTAGACACCATCAGTCCCGTGTTTGAGGACACAGGCTCACTGAGGACCACGCTGTGCAGAAAGGAGGTCCCGGACAGAGGGTTCTGAGCCCTGGTGAGGGCCAGAGAGCTGAGAGCCCGGCAAAGCATGTGCTGGTGACGCCAGAGAAAAGGAGGCACCGTAACACGTTTCGTTTTGATGAGCTTAGCCAGCGTTTTGCATTGAGACAGTCTTTCAATGAGCCATCAGAACATGGGGTCTGTCTAAAATATGTTTTGAATAAGTTTTGTATTTTATGTTCCTGTAAGTTTTTGGACTCTGACGATAGGGCATATTTCCATGGTGTAGGACCTCGAGGGGTATTCATCTGGTTTGTTTCAAGTTAAGTGATTTGCTTTTAGACAGTGGTTAAAAAAATTCTCTAAGAATGTTGTATTGACTGAGCAGTTTCTCCGTTGGAAGGGAAGGAAAGGGTTTCATATCCACATCACCGCGGGAGACTTGTCAAACGATCCTCTCCATCTCTAACATTTCCCCCTGATCCTCATTCCACTTCCCCCCACCACACCAGGGGCCAACGTTACTGACGGTGGCAGGTGGGGAAATAAAAATGGAAGCAACGGGATCCCACAGACCTTTGTCAGAGCTTATGAACCACTTGTTGGTTTGCAGGCAGAGGAAGCAGCAAGTGCAAAGGTCCTGGGGCCCCTTCGAGGCCGCCATTCTCCCAATGCTCTGCCTTCTCAGGTAGCAGTAGCTCATTTTCAAAAGCAATCCCTGGTGACATATTCTGGATTCATGCAGTCTGAAGAGAGCTTGAAATACGTGTTCTGGAGACTATGCCTTAACCCGAAGAGGGAAGAGCAGGTAGGGGAGTCTCTGACCTTGGCCGGCAGGCACTTGTGTAGTTTGCAGTCACGGAGAACAGTCCACCTGGGGAAGGAGCAAAGGGAAGGATTTGCAGTCAGGAGGTCCAGCGGGTAACCCCTGCTCCCTCCTATCCTATCATAACTGTGTGATTGGGAGTCCCTCCTCGCTCTAAATTGAGTGAATCTAAAACATGTTCTACCTTAACCTGTATCTCAAATGGAGAGGGTGTAGCCAAGTGGCTTGTAATGAGAAACAGCGTGTGAAAGACCTTCTCCGGTTAGAAACATGAAATGCGTGTTCGTTTTTACCGCATTAATTTCACTACTTTACATTTTAATGCCAAGTTGCAATGCTCTCACGTGGTCACAGAAGGTACATTTCTGTCACTCGTTGTTCCAGACCTGCCCCAAACCGGATTCTCTTTCCCTAGATGCGGGCTGCGTAAAATGAAATGTGTCTAAGTGCATATATCAGTGAGGGTTTGGGGCTGCAGACCTAGAGGTGCACCCATTAGCCTAAGGAGAAAGGGGGATGTATTCAAAGTGTATCAGAGTGCACAGAACTAATATTCAGGGCAGTCACTCAGAGGACCAGCTACTGCCCAATCAGAAGGGAGCCCAGAGCAGCTTCCTGGCGGCCTCCTCTGGTCTGGGAGTTAACCCTTCGGCTTCTGGGTGACGGGGCTGGGGGAAAGGAGGGAAAGGGTGATGGGGGGTGAGCGGGGCTGGGACAGTGGCTATTTACTGATGGGAGTGGAAATAGCTCAAGATTTTAACCACTGGCCTGGGCTGACCCACTGACCAAAGCTGCCGGGCCGAAGAAAGATTCAGAAACCCAGACACCTCCACGATCTTCTATGGGACTCTCTGTGGAAGTCACTGCAGGTGATCCCGGCCAAGGCTGAGGGTGAATTCCCAGTGCGTTCGCCGACGAGGCACTCATTCCGCGTGCAAAGGCCCGCGTGGGAACCGCAGGCTGGCCTAGACGGGACATGCTCCCAGCCTGCCGAGGAGCGAGGAGAGGCTGGGAGGAGGCCAGCGCTGCTTCCTACCTGGACACAGACAGTGGGGACTTCTTCCAGGGAGCACGGGGCTTGGGATGCTGGGTCTCAGTGTCCGATAGAATGAACGTTTCATGTTGAGAAAAAGACCCTTTCTACAGGGCGCTCTCTAAATCCCTTTCTCCTCCTCTCCCTCATCCAGAGAGGAACGCCGTAAACATGGCATCCTCCTCCTTAAAAAACCATATGGTGATCCGCCATGTGCTGCATAGTGCAAGGCCACCTTGCGTTTTCATCTGGACTGCCATGCTCTCCTTCTCATTAACATATTTGACCAGACTCCTTTGCATGGGTGCGCAGCTCCAGGCACCCCGGCCGGTGCTGTTCTCGCAAAGGCGCCCAGCTGTCACAGTAATTGTGCTGCGAGCGGAACCCCTGGGTCTGGGCTGGACACACGCGGGCGCGGAAATCTGGTGCAGTGCCGGCAGACACCACGTGGTTTCTCCATGAAGTATTGCGTGTTTTCGGTTTACCTATGCGTGGCCTAAAAGGCGGGTTTCCATCTTTCTTCGTTTCCGGATCCCTGTGGCACCTGGAGAGAGCTTTGATCATGGTTGTTGGTTGAAATGCTCACTGAATTGGACGGCAGCGTTGGAATTGCACGAATCTGAATAGGTTCTAAGTTTAAGACGTTGAACGCAGGAGGCGATGACTGTGGTGGTTAGTGTTACAGGTAGGATGACCGACTGTCCCAGTTTGCCCAGGACACAGGCGGTTCCAGGGCTAAAACGGGAACGTCGCAGGCTCCGGCACCAGACAGCCTGGGTTTGAATCCTGGTCCCACCACTGGCCAACCGCGTGACTCAGCTTTCTATTTGTAACATGTAAATAACAACCCATTTACCACCGGGCTTCGGAAACGAATAGGCTAACCTGTACAAAGCACTTAGGACTGCCTGGGAGCGCGGGGCAAGCCCAGCAAATTATTCTAAGAGCGCCTGGCGATCGCGTCTCCTACCTGAGGGCAGGCGAGGCCACTGCCAATAATCCTGGCCAGCGTCCGTACGTCTTTTTAAAACAGCGGACGTCGTGAACCTGAAACCGGGGAGAGTTTATTGCAAAAGCAATGGGATCTTGAGACAGAACGAACCAGCCTTTGCAGACATTGGCAAGTAACACGTCCAAGTGGGAACCCTTTTCTATAATTACAATACTTTATAATGAGACAAGGGCTGGAGAGATTTGTAGGTGTGGGGAAAAGTATCTTGAGATAAACAATATGATCCCATCTATTTTAGATGGCTGTTGTACTACGTGACTCTTTCCCTATGTGCACACGTGTGCGCGCACGTGCACACACACGCACACACACACCCCACACCCCAGACCACAATGCCAGTGTTATTACTGGGACCTTGAAGATTTCCCAAAATTATCCAAGGGAGGGAAATAAAAGAAAAGAAGCAGGGCAGGATAAGCCTCTTCCACCTAAATCAATGCCATTGACAAGTCCCTGAGCTCTGGTCTCTTTGATTCCCGCCCTCCCCACCCCCCTTCCCGGTGGAGATGTCCCTTATCCCTACTTCATAGACAAGCTGCAGTCGATGTGTAAATATTTTGCCATCACCAGGCCCTGATTTCTTCATCTAAGTGCCCTGAAGTCTTCAGTCCACCTGAGAAAGAACACGGAGGCCCTATCGTCTTACATGGAAACCAGGGCATGTGCCGAGAGCCAAGCCATGAAGGAATCGCCGGGGCCGGGAAAGCCAGGACTAGCCAGTTCCTGGAGCTGGGGCTCCTGGGCCAGCGCACCCCCTCGCTGCTCACCCGGCCTTGTTTTTCCCTGGGCTTTGGCGATGTGAGCTCGGGTCATCGGGAGGAAGGGAGACGTGGCCAACCACCGGGATGTCAGGTCTGTGCTATCAAATCTGTGGGTGTCGGGGACGTCTGTGTGGCTGAGCTGTGACCTTGCTATGCAGATCCGAATCCTTTCACTCTTCAGACTCTAAGATACCCTCGGGAGGGTAAGGGAGCTGTTTTCTTGTTTTCTCCTGCTTTTTAGAAGAAAGAAGCAAAGCCCCTCAAGAATTTGAGTTTACTTTAAAAAAACAAGAAAGGACCCAGGGTCCGTCAGCATCACCTAGGCTGCCATTTCCAAGTGCAAGTGAAAGATTGTGGATGGGGCATTGAATCACACCCGGCGGTGGTACCAGTCGCTCCCTCACCTGTCCCTCCTATTCCTCCACCTACCCATCCTCCTTAGCCCTCCACCTGCATGTGGAAGAAGGTCTCAGCCGGCGCCAGTGTGTCTCCTAACTCCTCTCCGACAGCTGCTCACCGGCCTCGTTAGCCAAGACCGGCGGCCTGGGGCTCAGTCTTCAGAGTCGGCAGGCTCTCTCTTGAGTTGAATAACATGGCTTCGCTTGCTTTTTATTTACCTTCCCAGCTGGCCTTCTTTTCCATGTATTGCACTACACAGAGTTTTTCTGTAAAATATAAGTGTGCCTGTTTAAAGACAGCTATCAAGTACTTGTAGCAAGGTAAGTCCAATAGGTCAAAAAATCATGGAACTAGTATAGGAACAGCCCAATTTGAGGAACCACAAAGTCCTCCACTGTCAAGAGACAGTATAATTCTTTCATCCATCCACCCACCCATCCACCCTCCCATTCCTTCACACACCCATCCATCCATTCATCCATCTACCCTCCCATTTCTCCACACACACATCTATCCATCCATCCATCCATCCACCCATCCATCCATCCTTCCACCCTCCCATTCCTCCACACACCCATCCATTCATCCACCCATCCACCCTCCCATTCTTCCACACAGCCGTTCATCCATCCATCCATCTATCTACCCACCCATCCACCCATCCACCCATCCACCCTCCCATTCCTTCGCACACCCATCCATCCATTCATCCATCTACCCTCCCATTTCTCCACACACACATCTATCCATCCATCCATCCATCCATCCACCCATCCACCCGTCTACCCTCCCATTCCTCCACACACCCATCTATCCATCCACCTATTTATCTGTCCATCCATCCACCCATCCACCCGTCCACCCGTCTACCCTCCCATTCCTCCACACACCCATCTATCCATCCATCCATTTATCCATCCATCCACCCATCCACCCTCCCATTCCTCCACACACCCATCTATCCATCCACCCATTTATCTGTCCATCCATCCATCCATCCATCCATCCATCCACCCTCGCATTCCTCCACACACCCATCTATCCATCCACCCATTTATCCATCCACCCTCCTGTCCATCCAACAAACATGTACTGAGTATCAACTGTGTTGTGCTGAACTTTGTGGGTCAGGGAGCAAAGCCCTTGGCCTTAAGGCGTGGTCGGGGAGATAGCAAACAAACAAACTCAATAGTGAGGGAACGAGGGCAAATAGAAAAGATGTCCTGTAGAATCTCCTTTGTATCAAGTTACTGGAGAATTGTATATCACTTCATAGAACTGTTGACATTCACATAGAATTTTATTTAAATAAAGTTTTTCAAAAGGCCACCTGGTCCATAGCATGAGAAGTCAGAATGGTGGTTTCCGCTGGAGAGGAGTCTGAGGTCGCGTCCTGGCCCCGTTCGCTGCAGGGATTGGTCACACCAGCGCGTTCACGTTGCGGAAATCCAACTCTTCCCCTTCTGTAGAGGAAGACACAGGCGAGGCAGCATGCCCAGGGCCGCTCAGTTGGTCAGTGACAGAGCCAGGTTCCAAATCCAGGCTTTCGGACTCAGCCCCTGCCCTCTTAACCACCAGGCTGCCCCCCTCCCTCCTGGGAGCACGGGGTGATGTGCTGGGCCGGCCGGCGGTGATGGAGGAAGAAAGGGTGGCTGCAAAGGCAACCGGGGTGAACACAGGCAGCAGTGGAAGGGGGAGACGAGCATGCTGGTGAGAAGCAAGGCTTTGGATGCTGCCTCTGCCACGTGCTGGCTGTGTGAACGCCGCACAGGAACTCACCTCGCTGAGTTCTCGAATTCTCATCTATCCGGTCAAGTTCATGTAGGAACCGTGTTGACGTGATGTGGCCTCGTGTAACTGAGAAAATGGATACGGCGGGTTACTCATATTGTGGCAGATGGGTGAAAGGTGGGTACTGTGATAATGACATAATATAGAACCACTATGAATATTACTCTGATGATTCTGAGCCGCCTTTAGAAGCTTTAGTTGCAACCGCTGTTGCCCTGACGATGGGGAGCAAAGTGTTTTATCCTTTGAGGTGTTAGCCAACAGCCCCCCGTCCAGCCTCACTCTTGGAACTGAAGACTCCTTATAGGTTCTGGGGTGGATTTTGGAAGCCAATGGAATTTGGTCGCCCTTAGGAGGGAAGGCATGTCATGTGCTTAAAGAGATGTTCTCACAAGTACACGCAGGTCCCGCGAGGGGCGAAGCGATCTGAGTCCCTCCCGGGTGATGTCAATCGGACAGATCTTTCCCAGAATCGGCGATCTGGCCACGAAAGCCCTGGCAATGTGCCACGGACATCGGCCTTCGCAAGGAGGACGTGTTGTCCACGTGGGAAGTGTTTCCCAGACCTCAGATGGGGGCCGCGGTGGCGAACAGCATGTTAATAAGCGACGCTCCCAATGCAGGCACTTTCATTGCAAGTGGGGGCAAAGATGTGGTTCGGCCAGGCAGGAGCCACGGCCAGGGCGTGTTCTAAAGGCGCGTGCTTTCCATGTGTCCTTTTCATTGCATGTTGTGGATCCTTTTCCAGGCTCCTGAGGGCCAGGAATCCGAAAGAAAATGCTGGGCGGCCAGAAGTCACGATACCTGTGTTACATCTGGGGGTTCCCAGCTCCCCTCCCCTCCCCCAAACCCCCACTTCCTAGAGCTGCTTGGTCGCCCTGGCGTTGAGAAAAGAGCATGTGGCTCACGCTCCGGCGCCGACCCGAAAACCATTTGAAGTGAAAGCACGTTGCCAGCTTCCACTTTCTTCACAGCATCCTTTTCCGCTTCTACTTTCCCTTTAAAGAAAAAAAATCCCGACTTAAGAAAACTTGATCCGCATGCAGCAAGCTGGCCCCAGCTCTTTCTTCCTGTGCTGCCCGGGACGGAGGGACGAGGGCAGGCCGCAGGGCCTCGGGGATCCCAGGGAGGAGGTGCCAGAGGGGGCCAGGCCACGGGGCCTCCGCGGGGGGGAACATCCCATATCTCCGTTCCCCTGGATGCTGCGGGTCGGACGGGGCTCATGGGCTCTATTCCGGGTGACAGAGGCCGGTGGCTGGCGTTTTACCTGCGAGCAGCCCTGGGAGGCCGCGGGCAGCTTGTGTGATGGCAGCCACGGGAGGGCAGGGAGTCAGAGGCCTCCTGGCAAGGGCAGCAGAAAGCCATGTGGCGAGGGCCGCGGGCTGGGCCGGGAGGAAGGAGCGCACCGCTTCCCTCCGCCCGGGCGGCTTCCTGCCCCTCCCGCCCTCCACGCAGCGGCTGTCTGGACTCCACGCGGGAGCGAACGCCGCATCAATTACTTGAAAGGAAGCCGAGCCTATTCCCGAAGGGTTGGCAGCAGAACTGGTCATTGTTGAGAAAGGGGAAGGAAAAAAAAGGTGCATATACGCCCCTCGCTCCCCTCGTTTCAAAGGCCTCTTGGGTTGGTGACTGCGGCTTTTGACAAACAAAACAAAACACCGAAACAGAATTCTCAGGGACTCTCCTTAGCCCCTCCATAAACCCAGCCTTAAGGGCTCACAACTTCATCCTTCGATCTTCACTCCCAGGTGGATGCAGGCTGCAGCCGAGCGGACCCTCCTGACCCCCGGGAGCTCCTTTGCAATCGCCAGAAAGGCAGGCGTGGGGCTTCCTGGCCGACGTTCAGTGCCCGCGGATGCTTGGCCTTCCTGTCAGGCTGTGATTAATTCGGGGCCACTTCAGTTTTGCTAACTTTCATCCCTAATGGGCGCGCTGACGTTTTTATTTGAGCCTCCCCTGCGCCGTCCAAAACAACCTCCGTGGGCAACAGAAACCGCCGCCTCATTGCCAGCGAGCAGCTGTTCCCTCTCCTCCGTCCACAGCCCGGTTCCCGACCGGGGGTTTGGAGCTGGGAGCCCGTGGAAAAGCACGGGCCAGCGACAGCGGCGTGTCAGGTGGAGTGATTGAATGGCTCCCTTTTTCCCCGGGCTGTGTCTGAGCTGGAATCGGGGCCAAACAAAGCCCTTCGCCTCTAAATATAGCGTTGGTTTGGCCCCGGGCCCTCACTGTCTTGTTTTCCATTCTTCCCAGCCCTAAAACAAATACAGGGGGGCTCCACTTCTTTCTTTCTTTCTTTCTTTCTTTCTTTCTTTCTTTCTTTCTTTCTTTCTTTCTTTCTTAACCCAGATTTGCATATTCCTTGGGTCAGACTGTATCCTGGAAATGGAAGTTCATGCACAATTAATCTGATTTTCTGGTTAATTGCAGGCTAGCCAGAAAACTGCTCTGAAAAGTCCCTCCTACCCCCAGAGGCCGCTGAGACAGTGTTCAGACACTTTCTTACAAGCAGGAACTCGGGACAGAGAGAGGAACAGGCATCTGGGTGCACAGGTCCCCACGGGGGTCAAAGGTGGCGTCTGTGGACACTGCCCAGGTACCCGGACTCCCATTTTCTGTGCCGCCCACTCCGGTTCTGAACCATTTTTGTAGTTGGGTCGTTCCTTCTTGTGTTCCCTGCCAGCGGGTTTTTTAAAGTTGTTTTCTTGATGGCAGGGGCGCCAGCAGGCCTTCAGGGTCCCATGCGGGCCACTGCCCTGTCGGCCTGGAGGTCCCGGAGCCTGGGTGTGATGGGTGCCTCTAGGGGAGCCTTGCTTTCCTGTCATCTGCTCCTCTCCCGGGGTAGGCTGAACTCAGCGGTTCTAATCCTGGCCGGTTTGGCTTGGTGGATAGAGCACTGGCCTG